AAGATACATTTTTGTGCCATTTGAGCATCTGCATTCTGCAAGGATGTCAGTACTCAAGCTCGGTGTTGTAATCCTTATAACACAGGCAAATGAAGATAAAAGAAGGCTTGTGAGGTGACATTACTGCAGATAAAGTTTGTCATAACTTTGCTGCAGATACCCATCTTTTATGAGGAAGGGAGGGAGGGTGAGAGGAAGGAAGGAAGGACAGAAGGAAAGAAGAATTATGCATATGTTCTGAATCTGTTAAAGAAGTTTGAATTGATTTGGAAAATTGTAGAAATGTTTTATGTATTTTAAAACATCCTTGTTAATGACTGGGGAATGTCTATGAGTTTTTCTTTTTTTAAAAAGACACTTTGAAGTAATCAGCAAAACGTTAAGCATAGTAAATACCTTCCCTGACAAAGAATCCAAGCACACAGCAATTCTCTTCACAATGGCACTGCCTAGGCCCCTCTGCTTTCAATAGTCAATACCAACATGCACACAGCAACCCTGGCCCCTTTGCATTTTCAGTAATGCTGAGCATACTGGTTACTATGCTGAGCATACTGGTTTTTTGTTTTTGTTTTTTTTGCTGGAGGGATGAAGAGAGAACAGTGGGTTTTTGTTCTTGCGGCTGTATTGCATTTTCTACCAATCAGGATTTCTCAAATGCAGCTTTAAGCCAACGTTCTCTCATTTGCTGTGGTGCAAATATAGAAGCTACACTTCCAACATTGGCAAAATTGCAGGGTATGGCCAAGACGGCACAGGCTCCAGCATTGCATAGTAAAACGCTCCTGTTCTCCTGCCAAGGATCACTGGCCCGGCTCCACCTTTTTTGTCATGAATGCAGGGCAGAAATTGCTTTCTCATTTGCTGTAGTTCAGAGAAGACAGCCTTCAACTTTGGCAAACTTGTTTGTTTTATTACGAGAGGCAAAACAGTTGCTGGAGCCATGAAAAGAAAAATACAGAATTAAAAATAGGGAACTGCATTCCTTATTTTTCAAGGATTCAGCATTCTCCTATCCTAGTTCCATAAAAAAAGATTGCCATCTCTTCCCACACAAATCACCCCTGTAGCACCAATTCCAGTTGGTGTTGGTAGCAGGGGAGAGGGCCAAGGATAGACCTCACTTGTGTGAGTTTGGGTCACTCACTGGTCCTCTGAACACCTCCATGAATTGCTAGGCAAGGTCATTTAGTAGCATGGGGTTGGTTACAATTGTTGATATGACCTAACTGTATGTCCTAGAATGCATTAGATACTTAAATGTATGTGAAAAAGCGGAAGATTGATAGGGATATTCTAGTTGTCTTTCATTGATTTCTCCACAGTGACCAGTTACAATTGGCAAAGAAATTATCTTGTGTTTTCAAAGCCCGAATGAGTAATATCTTAATTTAGAGATGAGAAACTACTATAGACAAGAACAGAATGCAAGAGTTGAAAAGGACCCTCTATGACATTTAGTACATAATTTATGGAGCAGGATCCAACTACATCACTCCTTCTCTAACACATCCAGCAGCAGAGACTGCCAACATTATCCAACAATAGTTACTGATGTTCTGCTAAAGTTTCTTCTTTGTAAATTTCATTTTTTACCCTCTGTTGCATCTTGTGTGTGACAATCCTTTGGATACTGAAAAAACAGACAGCGCATCTCCCTTTAATCTTATTCTTTATTTATTTTATTTGATATGTCAATTGCTTACAAGATACAGGTATAAGAATAAATATAGTTTTGAATACATGAGATAGATACTTATAAGAAAAATAAAAATACAATAGGACAGGGATGGTAGGCACAATTGGTGCACTTATGTACGCCCCTACAGGCCTCTTAGGAAGGGGGTGAGGTCAATAGTAGACAGTCTAAGGTTAAAGTTTTTGAGGTTTGGGGAATAAACCACAGAGTCAGGTAGAGTATTCCAAACACTGACCACTCTGTTGCTGAAGTCGTATTTTCTGCAGCCAAGTTTGGTGTGGTTAACCTTGAGTTTGTATCTATTGTGTGCTCTTGTATTGTTATGATTTGAAGCTGGAGTATTCATTTGCAGGTAGGACATTGCAATGTATGATTTTATATACTATATTTAGATCAGACCGGAGGCGGCGTAGTTCTAGGTTTTCTAGGTCTAGAGTTTCAAGTCTGGTGGCATAAGGTATTCTGCAATGAGTAGAGGAGCGGAGAACTCTTCTTGTGAAATATTTCTGGACTTTTTAAATTGTGTTAATATCAGATACATGATATGGGTTCCAGACTATTGAGCTGTATTCAAGTATAGGTCTAGCAAATGTTTTGTATGCTCTAGTTAGTAGTGTGATATTACCAGAGAAAAGGCTACATAAGATTAGGTTAACAACTCTTAATGCCTTTTTGGCTATGTAGTTACAGTGGGGTCTAGCACTTAGATCATTAGAGATGAGTACTCCAAGGTCCCTGACAAAGTTTGGATCCTCAACAAGGTCTTGACTATTTAGCTTGTATTTTATTTTCTGATTTTTTCTGCCAATATGTAGGACAGAGCATTTATTTGTTGAGATTTGAAGTTGCCATTTGATTGACCATTCTGATACATAGTCAAGGTCTTTTTGGAGGGTAGTAGTATTGTCTGTGGTGTTGAATAACTTTACATCATCAGTGAAGAGAATGCAGTTGCTCTTAATATGATCACAGAGGTCATTTATGTAAAGTATGAAGAGAGTTGTTCCTAAAACACTGCCTTGGGGGACACCACTGTTGACAGGTACAGAATTTGATAGGACATTCCCAATTTTGACCATTTGTTGTCGGTTTGACAGGAATGCTTCTATCCAGTTATGTAGGTGTCCAGAGATACCATAAGATTTTAGTTTTAGTAGTAGTTTGTCGTGTATCACTGAATCAAAGGCTTTATAGAAGTCTATGTAGATTGCGTCTATTGCTTTGCCCTAATCGAGTTGTGTAGTCCATATGTTTTTGCAGTGTAAGAGTTGCAGATTACAGGATAGTTTTTTTCTGAAACCAAATTGTTTATTAGAGAATACGTTGTTTGTCTCTAAGTGGAGGACAATGGATTGGTTAATAATTGATTCCATGACTTTACAGGTGACGCAGCATAAGGAGATTGCTCTGTAATTTTCAACTAGGTTGGGGTCTCCCTTTTTGAAGATGGGGATGACCGTGGCTTGTGACCATAGTTTTGGCAAGGAGCTGGTCCTGAAAGATTTTTCAAAGATTATGCTCAGAGGTTCGGCTATGGCAGTGGATAGCTTTTTTAAGAAGTAGGCACATATTCCATCCGGTCCAATAGATAGGGATGGTTTTAGATTGCGCAGTGCTTTTTCAACAATGTCTTCTGTAAAATCGATATGTATTAGATCATTGTAGTTGTCTGTGGTTCGACTAGGAAGTACTGGGCATGATCCATTGCTGTTTACAAATACTGAGCCAAAGAATGTGTTAAAGAGGTTTGCTTTGATGGTGTCGTCGTTGCAGTCTTTGCCATTAAGTCCTTTCAGGGGTGGGATGGACCTTGAGTCTTTTAGTTTGTTGTTTACAAAATTGTAGAAAGCACGGGGGGAATTTGCGCGTAGGTTTTCATCTTCTCTTCTTCAGTCTTGAATCAGATTACAGTATGGGTGAAATTAAAGTAGTTTTGGACATCTTGACCACCTATTATGTAGTCCTCTACTTCCAACAGTTCATTTAGTGACTGTTCAAAGTTATGACATTGAAAAAGTGACTTATATGACCATTTATCACATTTACAACTGCTGCAACATCCCCACGATCCTGTGATCCAAATTCAGACGCTTGGCAACTGACTCATATTTATGACAAGTTGCAGTGTCCCATGGTCATATGATCAACTTCTGACAAGCAATGGGGAAGCCAGATTCATTTAACAACCATGTTACTAGCTTAACAACTGCAGTGATTTACTTAAGAACTATGGCAAGGGAGGTCGTAAAATGGGACAAAATTAACTTAACAGATGTCTTTTGCTTAGTAATAGAAATGTTGGGCTCAATTGTGGTCATCAGTGGAGAACGACGTGTAATAACTCTACTCTATTCATCCCTGCAGTTTTTATATTTGTTTTTAATGTTCCAATTGTAAATAATGATTATTTTATATTTTTATGATTGTATTTATATAATTATCGTTGATTTTTGTACACCACCCAGACACTTATGCAATGGGCAGCTATACAAATTTGATTAATAATGTAACATAGCGTAACATTATTATATTACATTACTTTACATCATATAATTTATAATTATATAAATAAAATTATATAAAGTAATGAATTATTATTATTATTATTATACTTTGTTACTTTATATTATATACACCCTTCAAAGCCATTATTAAAAGATAAGTTTGAATACAAGAAATAGGAAGCGCACCAACGTGCCTACCGTCCCTGTCCTATTGTTTCTCTTATTCTTTTATTTTTCTTATATGTAACCATTTCATGTATTCACAACTATGTATACATTTATACTTATTATCTTGTAAACAATTGGCAAATCAAATAAATAAATAAATAAATAAATAAATAAATAGGACAGGGATGGTAGGCACGATTGTGCACTTATGCACACCCCTTAGAGACCTCTTAGGAATGGGGTGAGGTCAATAGAGGTTAGTTTGAGGGTAAAGGAGTGGGGGTTTGAGCAGGTGACAACAGAATCAGGTAGTGACTTCCAGACATTTACCACTCTGTTACTGAAATCATACTTCCTACAATCGAGTTTGGAGTGGTTTACATTTAGTTTACATCTGTTATGCACTCTAGTATTGTTGTTGTTAAAGCTGAAATATTTATTAACTGGTAAGATGTTGTAACATATACACATACATTTACATACACATATTTTTAAAGGGTCAATTCTTGCTAGAAAGAGGGTTCTCTTTTCCCTCAAGCGAGTTGACATTAACATCTGGAAGAGGGCAGTTCCCAAACGGAGCCTTGCCGCGGGGGAGGAGCTGCTGCGCCTGAGAAGGAAGGGGCGGTGCCGGCGGACCCGGACGGTGCAAAGAAGACGCGCGCGGCCTCTTGGTGCGCAAGGAGGCCGCTCTGGCGGCGACGGCGGTGCAAGTCCGCCCGTGGACAGCAAGGGCAACATGGAAGTGTAAGATGGCGAGCGAGCTTGGCTTCTTTCGGCCAGCCAGACCTGCTCTCCCCACCACCCCATGAAGGGTTAAAAACGGGAGAGGCGGGATTAGACTCAAAGGCAGGGAGGAAAGAGAAGCACCGGGCGTGGGTTTGAACTGCTTTCGGTGCTTTTCGGTCATGCACGCACACGCGTTTCCCTGGCTCGTTTTAAAGCCCTCGCGGTTGCTTCGACCTCCTGCAGACGTGGCTCCTCCTCTTCCTCTGGCTGTTTTTTTGTTTGTTTGTTTGTTTAAGTGGTTCAGCAGGTTGTGCGAATGTGGCTCACGATTCACCTTCCTTGTGCAAGTCCTGGAAATGAGATCGTTAGGGAACCAGTTCATGTATATCGATGAATCCAGCTATTGGCTCGTCGTTCAATATTGCGAGAAGGTGGAGTAAATTAAAGGCTTGAGTCGAGCCTCAATGTTGATGGCTTTCACGGAAATAGCCCCAGAGAGGGTTTGGCCACAGTAGGGTAGATTGTTATGGCTTTCTAACCTTTTTTTATTATTACTTCTTAGTGTTGTCTACAACCCTAACATTTCCTATGGTCTCCAATCCAAATCCAGGTTTGGCGCAGGGCTTTTTTTAGGTTGTTTTTTTTTTTGCATTAAGCCAAATTCAGTTGCTTACTTCTGCCTGCTGTGATGAAGAAACTCTTGCTGGGAATACACATAACAACTTGCCTCCAGAAGTTGTGAATGCTCTCAATACTGGAAGTTTTTAAAAAGATGTTGGATAACCAATTGTCTGAAGTGGTGTAGGGTTTCCTGCCTATGCAGGGGTTGGACTAGAAGACCTCCAAGGTCCCTTCCAACTGTTATTCTATTCTAACTATTTTTTTGTCTGCATTGCTTTTTTTTGACACTATCTCTGAATCCAGATTTGTGATCTATTTTATCACTTGAGAAGTTTGGGAGGGTATATAGGAGGAAAACAGTTTTCTGTATGTGTAATCATATTTGTATATTTAAATAGGTATACACTGCTTTTCTGTGCATTAATGAAAATACACATAAATACAGTAAAACTAAAAAAAATCTTGCAATAGTATGCAGTTCACACTTTAAAAAGTAATTACTATATATCCAAAAGTAAATCCCAGTTAATTTAGTGGAGGTTGCTTGCTCCCTTGCAGCATTGTATTGATAGGCAGGCTTCTGGGGGAATAAGATCCAATAAAAAATAAATATTCATGGGATTTCAGTGCAGTTTGATAAGAATGTCCTGATCGATAAGTTACCCAAAAGCCATTTATAGACATCATTGGTAATTATGCAAACAGAAAGATATATATGTTATTGTTTTATTTGATTATTTCAAATTAATTTTTTAAGAGTAAAAAAATTAAAAGATGGATTTGGTTTCCTAGAATAGGGCATCAGTAAGGCACTTTACCCAAACTAGGTAGCATCATCAGTATGTTGGGGATTATATTGTGGCATTGAGAATGGCAAAACTTTATTTCTATGCTCTTATTACAAGGGTCTTCAAACTTGGCAAGTTTAAGACTTGTGGACTTCAACTCCCAGAATTCCTGAGCTAACATGACTGGAGGAGGAATTCTGGGAGTTGAAGTCCACAAGTCTTAAAGCTGTTAAATTTGAAGACCCCTGTCTTATTATGTCTGAAATAGCCTTCCTGGCAACCCTATTTAAAGGATTGTTTCCTGCTGGGGAAAGACAAGCTATTGGGCCATTTACAGAGCCACTCTGAAGAACATTCTAGCTATCTGATTGATAAAGTCACTGCTTTTGCTTGGAGTTGGATTCTGACTTTTGAGATGCCTGAGACATTGTCTTGTGGGTTTAGATGAGACGAGCTTGTGACTCCAAGGAAGTGGACATAGTCTTTGGGTTGACCCTCCTGGCTTGTGAAGGTTACTTAGGAAGTGACCTGTTCTTGGGTCTATGTGATTATGTCATCCTCCTTGAGGGAAAGCAGTGGTCCACCAGTTTTGAAAGAGGAAAGATTATGCTCCCTCCTCAAAAAGACATTGCTGGACATAGTGGATATGGGCACACTTCAATCATCCCTTTTTGGGAAGATTGCTGAGAAATGGAATTGCAGCTCCAAGAGGCCCCCGAGGGAACAGATTATGTGAAGCCTTTTCAATTAGAGTTAAGACAACAATGGTCACTCTACTTTTAGACACGAAGTGTATACCATCCTGGTTGATCTCTCAGCTGCCTTTTGATATCATAATGTTTGATTAATAGTATCCTTCTGGACCACCAATGAAGATTACTAGTCAGGGCACCATTCTTTCCCTGGGGGCATTCCAGTCAGTGCTGATTTGGGGAAAGAGATTGTGGCTGAGGCCTCTAATGTATGCCTCAGGGCTCAGTGCTCGCACCCCCCTTTAGATGAGGAGGGCCTTCATCCTGTGTTCTAGCTGACCATGTTCCTGGCCTCAGTGATAGTTCTGATGCCCTAGACACCTCTGTTAACTGTAGACTGTTGAGCCCTTGATGTTGCAGCTGGTCTTAGAGTTGGTGTCAGTGTTACAAATTTCCACAGCCTTCTCTCTAAATATAATACTTAAAAATAAATAAATTGCACTTATTTAATTTGAAAGATGTATTGGAGCATGTTTGGGAATATTAATTTGAATTATCCTAAATCTAAAGCTCTTCATCATATCTGTATAGTAAAAAGAATGAGATCTATGCTACAAATGGAGGGGAACTACTATTTCTTACAGACTTATCTTTAACTATGAATAGTTCTTTAAAAATCCCACAATTCTTTGTTTATTTCCCTAGTAGGTGTATATTACATTGTAGCCAAAGAGAGGAAAATATGAACTAGCATCATGCTGACTTTTGATGCAGTGATAAAGATGGCAAAACTTTTTTTAAAAAATTCACATGGGCAGTGGTTCTATCCAACAGACAATGGGCCAAATTACCTCCTCAAATCCTCTGAAACCATGCAACATTTGTTCTAAAGTGAGCCAATTTACTCATCTCCCATGTTTTGGGTCAACTGAGAATAATTCTCTATGGATCTGTTACCCTTTTTGATTATTTTTTCTTACAATAGTTGTTGGGCCCGGAGACTCAGATTTCTCCAGATGCATATGGAATGCAGAGACCTTCAGAAGAATTAAATATCTCCATCAGCGAAAGGGGATATATGTCCGTCAATAACAACAAAAACACTTTTCATGAAATGATTGTGTTCGTGTGTATATGAACATAATTGCTGTAGCTTTTCTTTTATCCACACAATACAATGAGAACTCCAACTCAGCATATTTTCTCGTCCACTCAACCAGTACATTGTAAAGACAACATTAGAGCCTATGGAAGTTGTTGAACTTGTTTGAAAGTGATGAGTGTGGTGGTTCTATTCAAACAGTCCGCTTTGCTTGACATAATGCATTGTATTTTTTAAGTATGTTGCAACAGGGGACCTAAAAACAGTTTCATTCTCTTCCGTTGTAAATGCTAGTGATATTTTCTGCTGCTTATCTATCCAGCTGTACTCATTGTCCCTAGGATGTATAGCTAATTTGTGATAAGTGTTATTTTTTTTTAAAAAAAAGAAATATTGATGTTTCTAATTCATTTTCTGAAAATAAAATGAGTTTATTTGCTGTTAATAGGAATGCACTTCAATAGAAAACAAGAGCAGGCAGGTCTCAGGCAAGCCCATAGATTTGGTTTCAATAGTCTTTGCAAGTTGCGGTACACTTATTTTTTGTTCCAGGTTAAGTGCAGTTTTAAAAATGATTTGTAAGTAAAATCCTTCCTCAAATTAAGCTTAGCTCCGTGCCCATTTTCCTTTCAACTGTTAGGAGAAAGTTATGGCTTTTTAAAGGGGCTTCTCCATACTTGTCATGTTAAATCATTGTACTTACAATCTCTTTGGATTTTTTTTTCCATAGGAAGGATGGAAATGCAGCCCTTCTCAGCAATTATGAGGTAATGTGATTTGTCATGTTCTGAAAAGCTACATATAAGCTGAATTTTCATGACGATATTGCAATTCAGTAGATCTGGATTCAAGTTAGGGAAGATTTTTTTTATAGAAGTGAACTTGGCCTATGTCCTTCTACCATTATCTGAGGCTCCAGTATAATGGGCATGAGGATACCACCTCCCTTATGATGGAACCTAGGTTAGTAGTGTAAGTGTTCTGGACTGGCCAATCCTTTTATGTTTGTTCATGTATTTCCTTAATTGGTGTCTCCGCTTTTCATTTATTTCCTTCTTAAAAGACGGACATCTCTCTCTGCCCTGTGTTTAATAATTGCAAAAATGGAAACCATAGAGTTACTCTTACATAATGAGAATTATAAAGCACCTTGGGGTTTACTGTTACTGTTGAATGAAAATAGATTCAGTAAATAAAATGTACTTTCGTAATGTTAAAATAGAACATTCAAAATATATCTATCTCCAATAATAAATAATTGATTTAAAGGGTAGCCATAAAGAAGGGTGGCCATAATTTAAACTGTAGCCGTAATGGAGGGTTGCTAGATTGTGCCAGATGAATTACAGATCTGCAAATTACAGATCTGCATTAATAATGCTAAGAAAAAAGCTCCTTCAAATTAGCTGAAATCAAGAATTCTTAAAAATATTAGCAACAGAATATAGCAATGTGCAAGCTCCAATTATACTACTAAAAGAAAATCTTGAGCTGAATACATTCTTAAGGCTTCTTTTTTGTAGTTTTTCTGTCCATTTTTGAGGAGCTATTCGGGATACATTTAACTGATTTATAGGGAATGTAATTTGTAATTCGAGTTTAAATATTTGGAAACTAACTGATTTATTGGAAAGGATTTTCCAGTGTCTCCTAATATTTATATATAGGTATTTAATTTATATGAAAAAACTTATATGGCTTTCCATCTTATATACAATGACACTTAGTTATTGTTCGTTGCAAAATTGTGTCCAACCTATTGCGACCCTATGGACAGCGTTCCTCCAGGCCTTCCTGTCCTCTACCATCTTCTGGAGTCCATTTAAGCTCTACTGCTTCAGTGACTCCATCCAGCCACCTCATTCTCTGTCGCCCCTTCTTCCGTTGCCCTCAATCTTTCTCAGCATGAAATAGTATGTAGGAATGATCTTCAGAGACAGGAGGAAGAGCACCTGACTTGGCAGCTGTCAAATAAGAAGCAGCAGAGGCAGCAGGAGGAATGAGGACATGCCATACATCTTAGAAATGACCCTACTAGGTTTCTTGGATTTTAAAGATGAGGGGTGTTAGGAGTGTAAGTCACCTAACAGTTATTTGGGTTAGACAGACATGATATTCTTCCGATTAAAATTGGAATTCCGATTTTTTTGGAAATCGCCCCCCCTTCTTCTCCTTCCCCTCCCCTCGGAGGCCCCCTGAGTCAGGAGTTGCTACCGCCGGCGCGGCTCCAGTCCCGCGTTGCCTCGGGAAGGGAAAGGCAAAAAGGAAGAGCCGCGGCGGCGCTTTGCAACAGCAGCAGTGGCACTGGAGGCTCAGGCGCAGCAGCTCCTGGTTTTGCCTTTCCCTTCCCAAGGCAACGCGGGACTGGAGTCGCGCTGAGCCACGGCGGCGGTAGCAACTCCTGACAGCCCCAGCCGGACACCTGAGCGGAGCCTGGGTGGTGCGAGCGGAGGCCGCTGAGCAGCAGGAAAAGGGAGCTGGGCAGCCACGGACCATCCGTCTCTCCGTGCAACACGCCACCGCCCGGCCCTGGCGAGGGAAAGCAGCGGGCGCTCCCCGGGCGGCGGCCTCGGCCCTGCCCCCAGGGAAGCGGCTGCCCAGCTCTGGAGCTGATCCACACATGACCGGCTGGAAAGGAAGGGTGTGTAGCGTTGGTGTTGTGTGTGCGATTTCTTGGCTCGTGGTGCAGGGTCTCTTTTGGCCGGCCCCGATTTTTTTTTCAGAGGGGAATATCATGCCTGGTTAGAAATATATAAACTAGGATAGACATTTTAATACTGTATCTTTAAGAAAATGCAAAAACTGTAATTGGGGGTGGTTTCTCAAACGGCCATAAGATGGAGCCAGAAACCTGGGTTGTTTAGTCTCAGTCTCAGAAGTGAGTGAGTCTCTTTTTCCTTCTGTTGGAGAGTTTTGCCGTTCCTCCTAATGACTGTTACTGATTGTTGATGTAAGTCTGTTACTGAATTGTTTTTTGATACTGGACTTTGATACTTGGATTATCCCTGAACTGAACACTGACTGCTTTACCTGTTAATTGACTTGGACTGCTTTATCTTGGACTGTGCTTAAACGTTTTATTGGAAGTAAAAACCTACATTTACTGTACAGTGTATCTGTGGGCTGTTTGTGTATTATTCTTCACTACTCTCACTACGTCTCCCTGTATGTGCTCATTCTCCTAATGGGGAATTACCTCAACAAGGGGGAAGAGAATATTCTTTCAGGCTTGCAAGGTTCTGTTAATGTAATTTTACCATAAAGTCCTCTAGAGGGCCTTTTACATTGCTACTTTAAAGTGGTCTTCTGCCACATGTTACTGCAAAGTTCTGGAGATGTTTAAAGCTGTTCCTTCCTTCCCAGGTCTACAAATTGTTGACTGATTTGAAGCAGCAGTGCAAAGAGCCTGGGAAGAGCAAACAGAGTGTTGGCCAGCAGAATCTGAACACAATCACGTATGAAGTAAGTTAAGTAAAGACATAAAGAAAAATTGTGTGCTTTGTTGAATTTTCCTTCCCTATCCCACTTGCCTATTTCCATGAACAGAAATCTTTTGTAATCCTGCTATCTACTAAAAGAAAAAGAAAAATTCAAAGAAGTAGCACAATTCATGTTTTCCTGTTTTTATATAACATGAAAGTCAGCTGGATGATTTTGGGCCACTAACTCTCTCAGCCCAACTCCCCTCACAGGGTTTTTATTTTGAGGAAAATAGGAGGAGGAAGACATGGTGGATATGTTCACTGCCTTGCATTATTTTTAAAAATTAAATAAAGGCGGGATACAAATAAATATATCCCTGAAAACAGAGATATATCAGTGAAACATTTTTTAAAAATAAAAGATCTCTTTAATACTACTGCAATACTATATCTAGCAATATAATAATAATAATACAGGTAATCCTCGACATACATTGAGCCCAACATTTCTGTTGTTAACTGAGAGATCTGTTAAATGAGTTTGGCCCCATTTTACCACCATTCTTGCCACAGTTGTTAAGTGAATCACTGCAGTTGTTAAGTTAGTAACATGGTTGTTAAATGAGTCTGGCTTCCCTATTGACTTTACTTGTCAGAAGGTTGCAAATGGTGATGACATAACCTCGGGGACACTGCAATTGTCATAAATACAGTTGCCAAGCATCCAAATTTTAATTACATGACTGTTGGGATGCTGCAACAGCATGGTTATAGGTCACTTTTTTCAGTGCCTCTCTAACTTTGAATGGTCATTAAATGAATGGTTATAAGACAAGGACTACTTGTAATTACTTAATAAATGGATAAAAATACCAAATCCAGTCTGAATATTGGCCAACTCTGCAATGGATCATAATAATGTCCTATAGATCTATTACATCCATGCATTACAACATTTCATATTCTCTGATAATTTCTCTTGTCCTTTTTGTATTTCCTTCAGCTCTAATGATATGCATTATTAGATTATTATTTTGCCATCCTAAAACTGTTCATCCTTGGATTGCCTGAATTCCTAATGTGTTTGAAAAATTTTCTATGAATTTTATCCAATTGTCATTAGGACTTTAAAAAAAAAAATCAGATGACAATGGAGCCTCCTTCCACCTCCAGACCCCCAATCAAATCACACTACTAAAATCTGGTTGCAAAATGTTAACACATAGCAACATGACCTCTTACGTTAAATAAATAGGACCTTTGGGAAGCTCATTGCTCTTGCTGCAAAAAGAACCACAAAGCAAAACATTTTGGCTTTACACATACACAGTAATAGTAATATTTGCAGCATTTGAAACTAGGGAAAAAATATGTCACCCCCGACTGAAGATGGCCTGCTTCATTGCAGCGGGAATAATATGGAAAATTTCTGTTTCTGCCCTTCTAGACACTGAAATACATATCAAAGACGCCATGTAAGTTCCAGAGTCCTGAGATTGTTAGAGATTTCCTCATAGCACTGAAAAATCAAAAGCTAACAAAGTAAGTTAAAAATTACACCATGCAACAGTGGATTAGAAATGTTTGCTTTGTATTACATTTATCCCAACTATTCATAATAATATTGTTGAATTATTGGTGTTCAAAAAAAATACTTCCAGCTCAGAGCAGGAAATCCCCTGGTGGTAGCGAGCAAGAAAGTCAGCTGTATTAAGTGTGATATTCTCCTATTGGTGATTTGGTTTTATCCATGTTTACAATTTTCATTGGCTTTGTAGTATGTTTTAATAGGAGATGTTATTGCCCACATAAAGTTACTTTGTGTGAAATAGGTGGCCATATAAATGTGATAAATTATTTATTTATGGGAAATCCCAAGTAACAATTTACTGTCAGAATATTTGAAGTAAAACTATACACAAAAATACACTGCTCAAAAAAATAAAGGGAACACTTAAACAACACAATGTAACTCCAAGTCAATCACACTTCTATGAAATCAAACTGTCTACTTAGGTAGCAACACTGATTGACAATCAATTTCACATGCTGTTGTGCAAATGGAATAGACAACAGGTGGAAAGCATAGGCAGTTAGCAAGATATCCCCAATAAAGGAGTGGTTCTACAGGTGGTGACCACAAACCACTTCTCAGTTCCTATGCTTTCTGGCTGATGGTTTGGTCACTTTTGAATGCTGGCGGTGCTTTCACTCTAGTGGTAGCATGAGACGGAGTCTACAACCCACACAAGTGGCTCAGGTAGTGCAGCTCATCCAGGATGGTACATCAATGCGAGCTGTGGCAAGAAGGTTTGCTGTGTCTGTCAGCGTAGTGTCCAGAGCATGGAGGCGCTACCAGGAGACAGGCCACTACATCAGGAGACATGGAAGAGGCTGTAGGAGGGCAACAACCCAGCATCAGGACCGCTACCTCCACCTTTGTGCAAGGAGGGACAGGAGGAACACTGCCAGAGCCCTGCAAAATGACCTCCAGCGGGCCACAAATGTGCATGTGGCTGCTCAAAAGGTCAGAAACAGACTCCATGAGGGTGGTATGAGGGCCCGACGTCCACAGGTGGGGGTTGTGCTTACAGCCCAACACCGTGCAGGACATTTGGCATTTGCCAGAGAACATCAAGATTGGCAAATTCGCCACTGGCGCCCTGTGCTCTTCACAGATGAAAGCAGGTTCACACTGAGCACATGTGACAGACGTGACAGGGAGAATGTTCTGCTGCCTGCAACATCCTCCAGCATGACCAGTTTGGCAGTGGGTCAGTAATGGTGTGGGGTGGCATTTCTTTAGGGGGCCGCACAGCCCTCCATGTGCTCACCAGAGGTAGCCTGACTGCCATTAGGTACTGAGATGAGATCCTCAGACCCTTTGTGAGACCATATGCTGGTGCGGTTGGCCCTGGGTTCCTCCTAATGCAAGACAATGCTAGACCTCATGTGGCTGGAGTGTGACAGCAGTTCCTGCAAGACGAAGGCATTGATGCTATGGACTGGCCCGCCCGTTCCCCAGTCCTGAATCCAATTGAGCACATCTGGGACATCATGTCTCACTCCATCCACCAACGCCACATTGCACCACAGGAGTCCAGGAGTTGGGGGATGCTTTAGTCCAGGCGTGGGAGGAGATCCCTCGAGAGACCATCCGCCACCTCATCAGAAGCATGCCCAGGCATTGTAGGGAGGTGATACAGGCACATGGAGGCCACACACACTAACTGAGCCTCATTTTGACTTGTTTTAAGGACATTACATCAAAGTTGGATCAGCCTGTAGTGTTTTTTTCCACTTTTAATTTTGAGTGTAACTCCAAATCCAGACCTCCATGGGTTGCTAAATTTGATTTCCATTGATAATTTTTGTGTGAGTTTGTTGTCAGCACATTCAACTATGTAATGAACAAAGTATTTGATAAGAATATTTCATTCATTCAGATCTAAGATGTCTTATTTTTGTGTTCCCTTTATTTTTTTGAGCAGTGTATATTATATCTAAGCTGAAGATTACATTCAAGGACCCTAAGTAAATACTCAATACTTTCAAATATAAGACAGTATAAGTCGTTATTTGTTAATTAACTGTGGCAAAAGTAATAATTGCTGTATCTGAAAGGTACTGTATGAAGGAACCTAAAATCAATTTTTCAAGATTGTGGATTCAGTTAATGACAGGAGTGCCATCACTAAGTAATGCTGTTACACTTTATGACTTCATTACTTAGCAATGGAAATATTTATGAAATTACAGGTAGTCCTCGACTTATGACCATGATTGAGCCCAACATTTCTGTTGTTAACTCACTTGACTCACTTGTTAAGTGAGTTTTGTCCCATTTTATGACTTTTCTTGCCACTGTTGTTAAGTGAATCATTGCAGTTAACCAGTTAATAACTTGGTTGTTAAATGAATCTGTGTTCCCCATTGATTTTGCTTGTCAGAAAGTCGCAAAATGTGATCACATGATCCTGGGACATAGCAAAGGTCATAAATGTGAATCATTTGCCAAGCATCTGAATTTTGATCACGGGGAGGCTGCAAAGATCATAACTATGAAAAATGGTCACAAGTCACATTTTTCAATGCTGCTGTAACTTTGAATGGTCATTAAACAAACTGTTGTAACTGGAGGACTAACTGTACTTGATATCGAGCTGGGGCTTAAAGTCTGTTATGTAATGTTTATTAAATATTTTACTTGTTAAACTTTTATCCAATCACAAGTTTAATTTGTGTTTGTAACTTGCTCTTGGGCCTTCTGGCTGTAAACAAAATTGATTAGTTTAAATTAATATTACAGATTATCAATAGAGAGAGGGACTGGGGTTATCAATCTTTGCATATGTAACAAAGAACATTTCTCCTTGAAGAAAATGTGCATTGGGAATGGTGGCAGTCTGCACATTATCAGGAATATTTATTTTCTGCTGACTGCAGGGCACTACATGCCCAACAGCTTTTTTTAAATTAAATGAATAAATATTCAGAAATTTACATTTTAAAAGCTGAGGAAAATGTTCTCTCACTACTTAGACAAGTATTGGAAATACCAGTTAAGCATTTAGACAATATGTATGGATCTGGAAACTTTTCTTTGACACTTCTCTCTGCAAAACTCCCTTCAACATATAATAATCCTCTCACAGATTTGTTTTCTATTCCTAAATACATTAAAGTAATCAATTTCTGTCATCAATCCTTCAAAAAATAGGTAACCTTGATTTATGACCATAATTGAGGCTGCATTAACGTCATAAGTTGTGCTGGTCATTAACAAGTCGTCATGTGACCAGTCAGATTTTGCCACATTTTTTGTGATGTCATTAAGTGATTGGGCCTTCTTCTGGCTGTGATTAAGCCACAATCGTTAAACGAACTCATTGTTTGAAATGGGCATTTTCTGCTGGAAAACAGAAGTAAACAGCAGTTTCTGGCAAAAAAAAAAAAGTTGTAAAATGCAGTCACATGACCCCAGGACACTGCAAACTGCCGTCAATGTAGGAGGGTTGCCGGGTACCCAAATATTATCACGGACATTGGAACTTCAAATCTGGGTTGTTAAGTACCTTTTGGGGAGTTCATCGTAACTTTTGAACAGTTGCCAAGTGACTAGTTATTAAGCGAGGACCATTTGTAGTTAATTTAGTTTGATTTTAGTTGTTTGACCTAAAATTATTATAACAAAATAAAAAGCTGTGAAGAGAATTGTTAGAATTGTCACAGTACTTTTCCAGTGATAAACAATGCTGTCTTTCTCAGCGTTCACTTGATCTGTGTAATTGTTCTTGATCAGGGGTGTCAAACTCGATTTCATTGAGGGCCACATCAGGGTTGTGTTTGACCTTGGGGGACTGAGGGGGCGTGGCAGGGAAGGGTGTGGCAGGGTGGGCGTGGCCAGTTCAACATCCTGCAGCCTTCTGCCAGTGAAAATGGAGTCTGGGAGGGCCACATGTGGTCCTTCTGGGCTCCGTTTTCGGTTGTGATGGCCTCCTGCAGCTCTCTGCCAGTGAAAATGGAGCTTGTGCGGCTCTCCCGAACTCCATTTTTGCTGGCAGAGGCACTGCAGGCTGGTCCTTCACTGTTTCCGGGGCAGCCCCACGGACCAGATCTTAGCACCCTGTGGGCCGGATCTGGCCCATGGGCCTTGAGCTTGACACCCCTATTATTGATAATCCTTATTACCATTTCCCCAATAATGTCTGCAGCAAACCGTGATGCCACCAAAATGACATTAATTTAAAATAATATGTAATTTAATATAATCACATTTATGCTGTGATTCAGTACCTGCCTCAGACATCTGGATGCTTATAAGTAATCATGATATTTGCGTGGTTGTATCATCACACACATTGCCATTTCTTATCCTTCTGACCTTTGCAGCAGATGGAGGTGCCTGCATAAAGACATCCAGAGAACGCATGGCTGAAATTGGGGGCTTTCAATTTGCATTCTATGCTCTCTAAGAGCATATCATGTTATCCCTTCATGTTTGCAGAGTTAGATATCTGTGGTTCTATTTGTGTTGCTAAAACAAAAACTCCCAGAAGCATCAGCTTGCTTGGCCAATGCTGAGTGATAGTAAGAGCTACAGAGAATCATATCTGGAGGCTGCAAATTCTCCATCTGTGTTTATAGTGCTCAGTTACTACATGTAAGGCTGTCATCCAGGTTCTATATAGAGCATAAATTAGTAGTTGGTACCTCTAGATGGCGCCCATTGACAATATAATTATTATAGGAAGGCCACCTCTCATGAGATCTTTAAAAATATCATTTTGTTCCTTTTTTAAAAAAATATTTTTATATATATTTTTATTTGCTGGCTAGCAATATGGGGCATTGCAATCTCTATACGTCTGGAGGAGATGAGATTGAAGAAGATTGATGTATATAGTGCTTTATATTATTTAGCAACTCTTGATGATATGCAAGTAATTTTTTGTGGGGTCCTTGTTGTTTTCTGAGCTTGGTTATTTTCTTGCAGGCATTTCATTACCAAACTAGGATATGATGATACTATCCCACAGGTCAACCCTGAGCTACAGAAATTCTCTTCTATCAATAATTTCCCCCCAGATAGTTGATATAAGTGGGTGGTGGGGAAAGGACCATTGTGCCTTCAGTTGTCATGTCACGTTTACCAGTTCTTGCAGCATTTCAAAAGTAATCCAGATGTCCAGGTTCATATAGTTTTGACACCTTCATCTAACAACATCTTAGAAATCAGAAAACAGATATAAGGAGGAGTAGCTTCCTATACCGACTCAAGTTTTGTTATATAGTGATGGCCGAAATGGAGCACTAAAATGAAGTAGCGCTCACAATATTAGTGAGAAGGAAATTGCAATGTGAAGCAGCTGCTAAAAAAAAGCAAAAGCTACTGTATTTTTGACTGCAATAAGAGGAGCACAGGGTCCAGAAGAGAGGATATAACTGTTCCATTCTGTGTTGCCTTGGTCAGATCCCATGTGCTTGGCACTGTCTTGACATTGTATAGGATAGAAACAGATTGGAATGAGTTCCGAAGATGCCTAGATAATGAGAGGTTTGGAACCAAAACTACACAGTTAAAGAATCTGTGTGGGTGTGGCCTATGGAAAAGACAAGTGAGGAGAAATATTGTTCAGTAGCATTCTTAAAATATATGAAAGAAAAAAAGGAATGAACTTACTCTGTATTGCCCCGGAGAGCATGACCAGAACCATTAGAACAAAATTACAAAAATGTAGATTTAGACTAAACTTTAGCTGCCATGTGAGAAGGTTACTTCTCCTTTGCTAGAAGTCTTCAAACAGGCTGGATGCTCATCTATTAAAGATGCTAGAAGAGATCCTGAACTGAGTAGAGGGGGTGATTTTATTATTTATACATTCCATATATATGGCCACCCACTTGCCACGTGACTCAGGCTGGCTAACAAAAAATTTAAAACAGCAAATAATAATCTAAAAAATTAAAACATATTGCACTGAGAAGAGTTCATAATCTCCTAATCCTGTGCGGAAGGAAGAGGCATTTTCAGAGATAAGCAGGATTGGATCCATATTTGCGGGGGGAGGGGGGGGATTCTGTTCTAGAGACAGGAATAGTGATAGAAAAGGCACATTTCCTGGGTCCCACCAAGTAACACTGCTTGAATGATGGGAACCCTGAACATGACAATCCTGTCAAATGTTATTGATGAAAAAAGATCATCCAAGCCAGGCCCTACGCAATAAAGGATTTTATGGGCGATGACCAGTACTTTGAATGGCATCCAAAAGTCTACTGTGCAATTCATTTAGTAGCAGTGTTTCATGGATCAAAGTGTCCTCATTACTACCAGTGCTGCTGCCTTCTGAACTAGCTGTTTCTTTCAAATGGTCTTTAAGGGCAATCCCAAGTAGGATATGGTACAGCAATTCAGATTTGAGATAACCAAGCCGTGAATGACTATTTCAGCTTCCTAATCCAGGAATGAGTGCAACTGATACACAAAATGGATGTGTGCAAAGGCCCTCTGAGTTACTCTTCAAGTAGGAACCATGACTGGTTTTGCCTAGCCACTGCAACCCCATCTAGAACCAAAGATGAAAGATTGCCAAAACCAGTAGCCCTAAAATCCTAAGCCACTTGATAAGCCTAAATGCCCATTCAACCCCCATAAGCTCCAGAAATTGAAATAGAATCTGAAAAGCATTATCTCGCCAGCCTAGGATGAGTTATGTAACTAGGTAGCATCAGCATACTGATTGTATGTTCATGTCAAAGTTGACCCCACTCAAGAACAGAGAAAAAAATTGAGCTCTGAAGAATAGAACCAGGTTTAGAAGGAGAACCCCTTCGATAACTCCTACTGTCAGCCTCAAAACCAGTGCGGAACGATACAATTTATTTAATCAAATAATTCTAGAAAGGTTACTCTGGGATGGTACCTAAGGTTGTTGAAAGATCAAGGTTGGATGGGATGGAATGCAGATCCCGAATCATGTTCCTATCATAGGTCATTCATATGTGTAATCATGCTATTTCAGTACTATGCCAAGGCCTGGAACCTGACTGGAAGGGATACAAATAATCTTCCCTGCAGTCCAACTTCTGTCTCAAATGCCTTTCCTAGAAAAGGAAAGTTGGAGATGTATCAGAAATTACCCAACATAATTTGGTCCAGCAATGAGTACTTGAGAAGAAAATGTACCATTGCATCCCTAACCCCAGGCATAAGTATCACTTCACTCAATGTACCACCTCTTAGCTTCAACCATACATTGTCTTCCCACAGACCTTAATCAATTTAGAAGAATGTGGATCTAATATACATGTGACTTCCTTCACAACCCTGAAGACTCTTTCTGCTTCCTTAGGACCAAGAAAGTAAAACTTCTTTCAGATGAACACAGACTATACTTAACTCAGTAGGACTTGAAAAGGTGGAATTCATCTCAGGGTGGGTTTGAATGATTTCCCTTAACAGATGCTTTGACTAATCTTCAGAACAGCCTATCAAAAGATCTTCTGATCCATCTCTCCCTAAGAGGGATTGAATCACTTTGCACAGGGCTCCTAGAAAGCAATCCATGGACACAATAAAATGAGGGAAAATAATTATATTTTGCCCCCTTTTTATTGTATGTACCTTAATAAACACTCTTCCGCATGTTTCATTAGGCCCTTCATCTTTTTCCAGCAGCCCGGTAGGCATTTCTTTCTGCTATTTCATCTCTATTCTGGGTTGTTACACCATAATTTAAATTCCTGAACTCCCTTTCTGTCTTTTAAAAAAGCCCAGACATATACAAGTATAGTAATAATTATAAATTCATCCTGAGTCAGTGGTGGGATTCAAATATTGTTGCCACTGGCTTGGTGGGCATGGTTTGGTGGGCGTGCTTTGTGTGCATGCGCATGCTAAACGTGCACTTTGTGCAGGTGCAGAGGCATTTGCGCAGGCGCAGAGGTGTTCTAACTCGCCTCGCGCAAGCCTGCGCAAGCTATTCTGTGCCGCGCAAAGCAGCTGCGCTTCAAATTCAGCGGATAAAGGTGAGTATGGGAACCCAGGCGGGTGGGTGGGCCCAACAGCAAAACCATTAAAGCAACGGAGAGAACCGGTTCGGTCTCCGCTGCTCATCGCTCTTACCGGCTCTCCAGAACCGGGCAGAACCGGGCAGAATACAACCACTGTCCTCAGTTATGTTTTCATTTAGTTTAAATGTTGTCCACAAAAACTTAATTTTATAACTGACTCATAGTTGAAAAAAATTTAACTGGTTTAGGTAATTGTTTTTTGTAAAAGTGATACAATTTCACCCAGCTGCTGATACCAATTAAATTTGACATCCCTGTTTTCTGCCTGTCTTCGTAGCCAAGGATGTGAAACTGACATTTAATGGTTTATTGTGCCGCACAGGATTTTGAAATACATTTTCAGCCCTTTGGGACTATCTAAAGAAACAAGCTTTTGAAATCTGGGTTCAGAAAGAGCCGTGGGTTGTAAATGTTTTTGAACAAAGGGTCATTGAGGGTTTTAAAACCTACAAACCAGTAAATGCCAATGGATTACAGATGTGGGAATGGCAATTTTCAAGCTCCCATATTATTTCATTTCTGACTGCTGAAGTTCTAAGGCCAGGCTGTAAGTAAGACACTGGAGTAAGTTGAATGTTCTATAGACAAGCTTTTATTATGATGTGGACTCATTCCTGTGACCAGAATCCCTAAATTATATATATTTATGTCCTTTGCTTGGGTACAGGGCAGAAAAATTGCAACTACTCAACCACAGGCCTGCAACTGCTGTTGAAATCCAGCTGGTAAGTTATAAAGCTGCCTTCTGAAACATTGCTTTCAATATAGAAAATCAGTCAAGGGATCTCTCAATTTTCCAGTAGGGATTGTATAATAGTATATAATAGTACAATTCTTGTCTGGGTATCTATTTTCTTGCCTTTGTTCTTATCCTCAGCCTGTTTTATTGCTTACTCTGGTTTGTGAAACGGTTGCATCAGCAACTGCACAAAGATACATTTGATGGGATGAAATCATGGACAGTAGGATCCAGATCATGTGAGCCTCACCTGTACAGATGCAGTGGAAAGGCTAGCAAAAGAGGGACAAGCCAACAAGGAACAGCAGCTGCCAGGAGGAGTTACTACTAGACTTTGGAAATCTGTTGTTTTGTATTCATTTTATTATAAAAAAAATGTTATTCTTTGATTATGTATTGTAAACTGCCCTGGAAATGTATTAGAAGACTGAAATGTAAGTTAGATACAGATACAGATTAACCGAGTTGGAAGGGACATTGTAGGTCAGGGGTGTCCAACCTTGGCAACTTTAAGAGTTGTGGACTTCAACTCCCAGAATTCCTCAGCCAGCTTTGCTGGCTGAGGAATTCTGGGAGTTGAAGTCCACAAGTCTTAAAGTTGCCAAGGTTGGACACCCCTGTTGTAGGTCATCTAGTCCAAAGTAATTATATCCAGGTTAATTGTACAAAAAAAATGGTCAGGAGCAGAGTGTGTTTTTTGGACATTTGTGCCAACACACATAAAATAGCTACTTAGTTTTGTAAGGAGAGATTTGCATCTGATACCCAACAGAAGACAGGAAATAGGACAGAAGACAGGAAATATGTACAATAAAATCAGGTCGTCATGGAGTGCAATATATCTAGACACCAGGTTGGTTTTGACAACTAGTTTTTAAACCACCTATGTGTTCAATTAATTAACATGCCATCAAGTCCACACTTTACTAACGATCCAAATTTTGTGGGTGTGTTTTGTCACATTTTTTTGTTGAAATCAAGATATACTCTATGTACAGCATTCTCTACAATCTCTGAAAGTTGTCTGATAAAAATGAGATAGTGTTATTTTATTTTCTGGTGGCTAGCACATTTTAAAATTTCTGCTGAATGATCTCTTCATTATTGACTCTATAACCTGTCTAATTTTGATGTTCCGCTACCTGGTCTGTAATTTCCTAGATTCCCCTTTGTTCCTTTTTTGAAGATGGGAGTCTTATCCTCTTGGTATTTCACTGGTTCTCCCAGTTTTCTCAAGGTAATTCATAAAGATTTGACCAGACCATCAGAAAGTTATTTCATGCTCTGCATTTTGTCTGATCCAGGAGCTTTAAACTTATGCAAAGTAAATATAAATATGGTCCTACTCTGGCCTTTTACGTTGTCCTGAACAGTTATCTAGTTCTTTTGTCATTGAAGAAGCGTGAGAAAAAATATGACTTTAGCTCTGCTGTTCCTGTGTTACCTGTTATTCCATCTTCACTTAGGCTAAACATAACAAGTTCCATCATCTATTCTTCCTAAACTTTAGCTTCCAAGCCCCTCATCATTTTTATTGCTCTTCTCTACACTGAACTTGCATCTACCAGCTCTGAGGGGGGAAATAGACACTTTATGCTTTTCCAGCAATCCCCATTTTTAAACACTTTCTTTTTCAGAAATTCATACAGTTCCTTTTCCCATTAGCTTCTCTGACCACAGATTCCTACTTACCATTATTCTGAATTATTAAAATGTGCAAAGTTTGAAACACCCAGTCAACAAGATAAATTTCCGTTCCTTTAATCAAAATCTCCAACATTAAATGGTCACTTTCTCTTAATATTCTCTGCTTATTTTCTATCTCTTCCGCCCCCTTCCACTCTCTCTCCAGGCTGCATCATTCCCTGCTAACAAACCTCTGAGAGCCGCATAATAAATGAATATTGACTGATACATCCTTGAGAGCTGCTGATTCCCTGAGCAAATAAAATGTTCATTTTAGAAGAAAATGAATAGCTGAAGCAAATGTTCTGAGGTGGCGCCTGCTGGAAGATGTGGGAGTTCTTAGGTCATTTAGCAAAAAGGCAAGCTCTCCATCTGCTTTATTCCACATTTAAGGAAGTCTTATTAGTTTACGGGAGATAGAAAATAAAACAAAATATCACTCTCAGCTTAATCACCTCCATAAAAATATTTTGATTCCAAAATAGTTCCTAGGTACATGGTCAAGGCTGCTGACTTTAACTGAAACAGGTGAAAATAATTCAATGTTACAATATGTTTCACCTGTGTAACTTAGTTTTTGTAATTATTGTATCTGTTTTGCCTCTCTTTGAAATATTTAAAAGTTAAGTAGGGAAAACAATTATTTCTATCTGCTTAGTTCAAAAATAATTTTTACCTTACCAAAGAGTTTGATACTGTTGTTGTTATCCTTTGTTGTACAGATGTTTAGATTGAATTTGGCACTTTTATCCACCTTTTGAATTCTTCCCAAGGTCCTGGGATAGGCAGAAGTTGTTGTTCAATAATACAGGAAGTTCTTGGCATATAATTGAGCCCAAAATTTCTGTTGCTAAGTGAGACCATTGTTAAATGAATTTTGACCCAGTTTACAACCTTTCTTGCCACAGTTGTTAAGTGAATCACTGCAGTTGTTAAATTAGTAACATCTCTGTTAAATGAATCTGGCTTCTCCATTGACTTTGCTTGTCAGAAGGTTGATCATGTGACTATGGGAATGCGGAAATGGTCGTAAGTATGAAAAATGAACATAAGTCACTTTTTTCAGTGCCATCGTAACTTTGAATGATCACTAAATGAACAGTTGTAAGTCGAGCACTACCTGTATTAAAGGTATCACAGCATGCAAGCTGTTTCACACAAAGGTACAACATCAGTGAAAAAAGTGACTGATGATCATTTTTCACACTTACGGCTGTTGCAACACCCCCGTGGTCACATGATCAAATTTCAGACAGTTTGCGTCCCAGCGTCCTGTGATCACCTTGCAACCTTCTGACAAGCAAAAGCAATGGGGAGACAGATTTACTGAACAACCATGTTACTAACTGTTGCTGGAATTGGGTATGTCTAGTTTGATGAAAAGAAGGACTAGGAGTGACATGATAGCAGTGTTCCAATATCTCAGGGGCTGCCAGAAAGAAAATGGAGTCAAGCTGTTCTCCAAAGTACCTGGGGGCAGGACAAGAAGCAATGGATGGAAACTAATCAAGGAGAGAAGCAACTTAGAACTAAGGAGAAATTTCCTACCAGTTAGGACAATTAGCCAGTGGAACAACTCGCCTCCAGAGATTGTGAATGCTCCAACACTGGAGGTTTTAAGAAGAGATTGGATAACCATTTGTCTGAAATGGTATAGGGTTTCCTGCCTAAGAAAGGGGTTAGACTAGAAGACCTCCAAGGTCCCTTCCAACTCTGTTATTCTATTCTGTTCTGTTCCTATTCTATTCCTATTCTATTCTATTCACTGTTTTCATGAAAGATGTTTACAAATTTCATGCTTTTTTGATGATTAAACCCAAAAACGATTTATATATCATATTAAAACCAGGGCAGATTTCTTTCATCTCTTTAGAATAAAAGCATGAAGTTTGCAAACCTCTTTCATGAAAAATCTGTACTTTTTGAACTGCAGCAGAGGATTGATAGAATGTCCAGATGATAAACAGGTACTAACTAGACAGCTCAATCTCTCTGTTCAATTATGTGCTTGTACTGAGATGTGCTGATCTTGAACTAACCAAAGAACTGCAGTGATTCATTTAACAACTGTGTCAAGAAAGTTGTAAAATGGGAGGAAATTCACTTAACAATTGTCTTGCTTAGCAATATAAATTTTGGGCTCAATTATGATCATAAGTTCAGGACTACCTGTATTGTACAAGGGCCACAGCTGCCACCTGTTTATTGAAAAGGAGCTATGAATCCAAGAAGATTTCAGACTGCGCACAGTCAAGAGTAAGAAAGAACAGCTCTACTGAAGCCAAAGATATAAAATGTCCTCTTCTGGGATCCAATATTAAGTTGTTTTGATAGCTTAGAAACAAAAAGCTAAAGATCACAAAACTATTGCCTGTATTTGAGGAGGTTTGTTTTTCTCTGAGATAAGAGCAGTGGCTCCATTAAGAGCATTAGCTGTGACCGAAGTTGTTTGTTTAAAGAGGAAGGGATTTTATTTGGTTTTATGGTACAACTAAAAATTTCCATTTGCTATTCTTAGGCAGATCTGATGGGTGAGTGTTTGCATCAAAAATTTCTTATTGTTTTTAGCGAAACAATATGCATGCTTAGGAGAAAATAAAACTTCTTGAACAGTGATATGTTGCTCAGTCATTCAGTTGCTTTTTAACCTTTGGGAGGGACATCATTTTATTAGGATTGTCTGTCAAATATATTTAATTCTCTACGTTTTGTAAATATCTCTTCTCCTTCCTATTTAATTATTCTCAGATTTTTTTGTACTGTTTATTTCTGCCTTCAGTTATTTTCATTGCATAACAGACAACTGTTTTTGCATTTCTTGGATTGGGTTTTTTTTTTTTTGCTTCATCGTTAATAATGCCATGGATTTTTTTCAGGCACTCTTGTTACCAAACCTAATCCATTAAATTTATTCTTTTCCTTCCCTCACGATATCAAAACAAATAGACTGACATACCAGTCAGATGTTTTATTTGTTTTCTTCGATTAAGATGCAACTGTGCAACAAGAAGTGTGTGATCTGAGCCATAGTGAGCACCACAACGTGTTCTTGCTGACAGCATAGAATTTCTTTACATTTTGCCTTTAGAATATATTGTCAGTTTGATTTCAGCCTTGTCCATCTGATGATGGCCATCTGTGGAGTTATGTTTTAGGTTCTTGGAATAAGGCACGTGCTGTAAACATTTAATTTTCTTAGCAGAACTATCTGCCTCTTTCATTCATATGTGACCAAATTTCCCATCAAGTGAGATGCTACAGTCTTTGCAGCTTTAGTATCTCATCTTATACTGTAATTAGAATTATGCCTGTCTTTTTTTTAATGTGGTGTTGCAAATTGCCATAGAACTGTTCAATTTCCATTTCTACTCCCTGTTGGTTTAGAGCAGGGGTGTCAAACTGGATTTCTTGGAGGGTCAGTTCAGCGTTGTAGTTGTCCTCCGCAGGCCGGCCAGGGGGAAGGAGATGGGACAGACACCCTCCTGCAGCATCCTGCTGTCCAAAATGGGCTGTGGGTGGGGGCTGCAGGGAGCCCCCCTATACCCCGTTGTGGCCAACAGGGTGCTGCAGGAGGCAGTCCAGGCCAAAAACGGACTGCACGGGGGCTCACCTCATGCCCCATTTTTGCTAGCAGAGGCACCGTGGGCCGGTCCTTTGCTAATTCCAGGCCAGCTCCATGGGCCTTGAGTTTGACACCTCTGGTTAGAGTACAGAGTATACTGGATTTATTGTTTGGAGGTTCTAGCAGGGGAGCGCAGCTATCGTATACCTTTGACCGAAGATCAATACACTCTTTCTATCTGGGATGGTCGTCCTCTTCCACTGAGTGCGCAGCTTCGGGGGGGACGCACATGGAGCGGTGAGGGAGGAAAGGGACACCTGCCTAGCCAGACAGATCAGCCGAATCAACCCTGGCAATCAATGGGGTAACAGATGTCGCAGCCAGATCGCCCTCACATCTGGATTTATCATATGATAATTGGCGTACCTTTGACTCAGATTAAGATCATCTCTCATTTGGGGAAGGGTTGTATCCAAGCACTGACTTTGATGCTATTTTGTTAATCATAATAGCTAGCCTTATTTCTTCAATGAGATTTTAATCCACAATTGATTGCTTTTCTGATGTGAAGGGACCTTTTTCAGTCCACTTCAATTCGCTGATTTCCAGAATGTGAATATTCGCTCTTGACATTTCTGTTCTGACATCAGCTTTGCCTTAGTTCATGGTCTGACATTCCATGGACCAATGTATCTTTGCAGCTTCAACCTTTCCTTTTGCTTCTGGGCAGTCAGCAGCTGGGCTTCCCTTTGGCTTTAATTCAACACATAATAAGCACCAGTGCTCTTGCTCTTAGCTCTTGCCCAGTAGCTTGTTTCATGCCTTCTAAGGCTAAGCTTCAAAATCATGTTGATGCTGTCTTGGCTGTGGACATAGCTCTTTTTTTTTCTTGGGTGGATGGTATTTAGTCAGAATCCTCATCAGTGGATTGCCTGTCATGGGTGAAGTTTCTGGGAGAATATTCTATAGTTTATAACATCATTGGGAAATCTAAGCTGTTTTATCACGACAAGATCAAGCTCCATGAAAGAAACGATGCTTCATTGTAAATTCACCCTTCATCCCAAGTAGAGTAAGGCTGAACCTGAATAGTTCAACGGGCAAAGAAGTTCTTGAATTCTCTAGAACTCTCCGTTGGACAGGATATTAAAAAGTAGGAGATGGGAAAAAGCAAAGGAGTTCCAGAAATTAGGATCAAATCAAATACTTTTATTACGATCTTTGACCAGCTTTTACAGTGAAAAAGAGAAATAGTTTGATATAACAATTCATTATTGGGGCAAAAATGATATATCAAATTAAAGGCTTTGCATGGTTGCATGACTTGATGAGGGTATGTGATATGTGAGTGTGGGTCTAGCATCCCTTAAACCAGGGGTGTCCAACCTTGGCAACTTTAAGACTTGTGGACTTCAACTCCCAGAATTCCTCAGCCAGCAAAGCTGGCTGAGGAATTCTGGGAGTTGAAGTCCACAA